ATCGGGTAAGATTCCCTGCACTCACAATCTCTCTTCTTAATCTATCCAAAATTAGAAGCATGAACTAAAGCAGGAAAACATCAGAAAACCTCTTCTTTCAGATGTAGTGCTCAAGTGAGAAATGTACTCACAAATACTTCAGAGTGTCAGTTAGAACGAACAAGAAAGTGCCCAACTGACCTCCTGGAGCTTCCTCTTGTGGCTGCACCTTGTCCAGAGCTACCTTCTCAGAAGCCACCTCATTTCCTCCGTCACATTGTGCCCTATTACAAACACCATATCCATTGGTGGATGGTCCATGGAAACAGTCACTAGTTTATCGCAAAAAAATACCCTCAGCCACCGAGTGCAGTCAAAATACTAAGACAAATAACGAAGCATTAGCTAAAACTTAATATTTTAATGGAACCACTGAAATCCAATCAATTTAAATTTATTTTTTTAATTGAAATAATCAAAGGAAGAGTACTCACTCATCCTCTTTCTCTTTTACCCACACATCATTAACAGTGATGGGAAATTCCTTGGTTTTGTGCTTTTTATTTTCTTCCGTTTCTTCCAACATCTCTGCTTCTAAATCATCAGGCTCTAAAAATAGTGAAATCAGGCAACCCATTAAAAATAAATGCCAAACAAACAACAAAGCGTGACAGACTACAAAGTGGTTTTTTTTTTTTTTAACCTTAATATTAAACTTAAATCCTTGAGCTTCTTTTTTCCTCTGTATTTCACACAAACAAGTGAAATAATTTGTAACCCCAGAACTAAGGATTTGGCTGTGGTAGAAGTATTCTAAGGGCTCCAAGGAACTATGCCTTATAAAAAACCTCATCTGCCAGATATTAGCTAGATACTCCTAGAGAGTATATGGGAAGAGATCCCAGCACAGGTGATGGGGAGAAACAAACAAAATAAGGAAGCACTTCAGAACCCCATTAGCCTCCCTAGAGGCTGCTCTTTAAAGTGCATAAAGGGTTTCTGGCATTGAGCATAATAAATTGCTAAGACACAACACAATACAGGCATAGAAAATACTTCAACCTACCTAAAAATATTAAGAACACAAAGCTGAACATTACTTAGAGGAAAATATAAAGCTCTGCAGCATCATTTTTTCATCACAGAATTGAAATAAATTGTAATTAGAGCTACCAAGCAAAAGACTCACCATCCAGCTGAATAGGCTCGTACTGCACCTGGGTAGGTTCAGCTCTCTGAGGATCTGCTGGCACGGAAGTTTCAGACGCAGCGATACCAACCGGCACTGCACACTTAGCTCCCACAGGAGAAACAGCTTTCTCTTCATTATTCTCTTTCATGATTAAGGACTGATTATCTCCTTCCATAACTTCTGCAGCATCTAACACAAAATTATTCTACAGATTAAACAGCATACAGTGGCTTTGACAGTTCAGCAGCAAACCACAGTGTGAGCTAAAGTTTTTTTTTTTTTTTAAAAAAAAACCTATATTCATAGTACAAAAAGAGTTTGTTTTCATTTTAACTATTATGAAGAGAAATAGAAGTACTAAAAATATCATTTTTGTTTTCTGTAACAGCAGACCCTCTTGCTATAATATATTTAGTACCTGTCTACACTTGGAATAAATTGCACTGTTGTTGGAAACGAAATTTCCATCCTTTCTTTCAGTACTCCTTTTCTAATATCTTACCAGTTGGCAGAGTTTCACATTTTGGGGTCTTCCCGTATCAGTTTGTGTTAAGCATTTAGAAGTGAGACATTGTTGTTGGAAACGAAATTTGCATCCTTTCTTTCAGTACTTCTTTTCTAATGTCTTACCAGTTGGCAGTTTCACATTTTGGGGTCTTCCCGCATGAATTTGTGTTAAGCATTTAGAAGTGAGACAATACACAGAATTGTAAAGAAACGGTAAAGACAGAATATGCTTATTTTACTTCATAATTGTCCTTAGTAGAAAACCTCACAATACATACTAGATGACAGCTGTTTAAAGCTATTGCTATATATTGAAAAAGTCATTGGAAGGAGGGCAAAGAAAAAAAAAGGAAAAGGTAGCAGAGTAGCATGGAAGGAGGGCAAAGAAAAAAAAAGGAAAAGGTAGCAGAGTAGCAAATTGTTTTCATTAAAAAAATAAGCAAACACCATACAAGGTCAGTTCCTCCCTTTGCAGCACAAATAACTAGCACTTGTGCTCACCATGGGTAACATCTAGTTCCTCTAGTAATTCAGTCTGAAGCTGCAACTCTGCTTCTCCTAGGATTTTCAGGACTGAATCAGTAGGGCTTTTGCCCCAGACTTTTCTGTGAGGTTCGCCAACAACCGATTTAATTACCCCCGCCATAGTTTCTCCTGTAAGGATGCAAACACAAACCTATTAGGCTTTTGTTCACTTTGTATATAATAAAGGAAAAACACAAACCCAACAATTTCCCCAAAATATCGAAGTCATAAAACTATTAAGCTATGAAGTGCATCATTCCATCAATGACCATTTCTCTCTCTGCTATGTGAATAAGCCCAATAAGACACATGGAAACCCAGCGCAAGGTCTTTCCCCAACAATACCAAAGAAAAGCTGACAGAAAATCTGAAAGACAGACTTTATCCCTCCTCCCTCTGAAAAATCCCATCAAACTAAACCCAATAAACAATATAGTGTAAGGAAATCAAAGTAGCAAAAATAATTATTAAAAAAAATACATCCACCCACCACACACGGTTTATTGCTCTCTTCACATCATATTTCTGTGATGTCAGGATTGTCTATATGTCTATGACTTCCTGACATCAGGATTTCTAAGTTAAGTAAACTCATTAAGTAGAGGGAGAATTCTAATTTAACTCTACAGTGAGCTTTACAAAGGTGGAGATCTTTATTCTGTGCAAATTCCAGGTTACCCACAGGGGGTCACATCAGCCTGTCTTTTCAAAGCATTCTAACCTGTTAACTGAAACTAGTAATTTCATTTTTGGTTAATATTTGTAAATTAGAAAGTGTCTAAGCTTTTACCAGCAACTTGACATGTACTGTAAATCTCAACCCAATGGTGCACATCTGCCTGTGCAGCACGTGCCTATTCACAGGAACATGGGACACAGACCTCAAACAGTTTTGACAGAGTAAGATTGCTTACTCTATATAATCCTTTCTGGATTTTACTAAAGAGAGGAAATAAGCATCACCATTTTGCACTTAGATTTAAGATTTTATCATCATTTTCCCTGCAGGACGGACTATTACAAACAAATTACAAATCATCTCTCTCTGTTTTATTTCTTTGTTTGTTTTTCATTGCATTGTAATCTTAAGAGAATCGATGGATTTCTGCTGGAAAACAGAATCTTGTAACTGAAATATGCTATAAAATATCTTGAACACCATCAGAAGGAATTTAAGGAGAAAGTTACAAAGCTTGCAGGTATGTTAAGTGCTTTCTATTCTTTTTGTTCATTTAGTGGCTATTTAAAAATTAAGCTCAAAGAATATAACCATATATTCAAATAGATAACTTTGTTGAAAACAAGGAAAATTAAACTCCAGCAGGCCTTTTATTTAACTATTCAATCTATGCTTTGTTCCCCTCATTCAAGGAAAAGCATAACCATGCGGTTTAGAAGCAGACGACACAAAATTACTAACACAGATAAAAATAGAGAACATGTTTTCTAAAAATCACACAGTATGCATGGCAAACTGATATACTAAAATAACAGTAACAGAAAAGCACTTACGGTCTGTTCCAGAGAGTGTATCTTCCATTGATAACTGAGCTAGAGGAACTACCAACTCAGCTGCCCCCGATTCCCATTTTTTGCGATCTCCTATAAGGGGATAGTTGTCTTCTCGCTGTTCCTTATCGCCTTCAGACAAAACTGATTCAGAGGGTTTTACACTATCCATTTTTCCTTTCTCATCTTCTTGGGCTTTAAGATTTTGATTCAATCTTCTCAGTATATCTCGCTTATTCTGAAATAAGGACCAACATGTATCCCTTAAAGTCATACATTTTTCAAACAGAAAGGAAAGAAAAACTAGATTAAACTAAACGACTAGACATACTTGCACCGCCAAATCCGGCTTTTTTATTTCCTCTTCAGCTTCCTGGGTAAGAGTTACATTTTCTTCCTTTAAATCCAAGTAGCATGAAAAACAATGTGGGATAGCATGTCAGAAAAATAATCTTCAGAATATCAAAAGATGTACTAGAGAAAAGTCCATTCCATTGACAACTGTAGATAAAGACACCATGCATGATACTTCTGTTTTTATGTTGCTTCCCAAAGACTGAACCTCAAAGACAGTTTCAGTCCTGAGCTTTTCACTATCAAATTGGTGAGCAAGAGAATCAGACTCAGTTTTAGCAGACATGAAAACTCAGAGGGCAACACAGGTGAAGATGAAGCCAGACACCATATCTGCAGCAAAATGCCACCAAATTCCAACTTTAGAAATGAGTAATTCTAGAAGGAAGAGGAAAGTGACAAGGACAGAGTCAAGAAATGTCTGTAAAGTAAAGCAGAAAGGAGTTAGTGACAACGGCATATATGATGTCAATTCAGTAAAGAGTAAAACAGCAGTTCCTTTATATCTGAAAAAACATTAGAAAACCTGCCCAGAACAAGCTGACTGAGAAGAGTAGGTAGGTACATAATTATACTAAAGCAAATATTCAATTATGTGAAGTATTTCTGAAAATCATTCTGTGAAATAGCAACAACAAAAAACACTTTGAATGCAATACCAGCCTTTCCAAATTGCTCACTGTTTTACACAGAAAGCTTACTATTCACAAAAAACACTTTGAATACAAGACCAGCCTTTCCAAATTGCTCACTCTGTTTTACACAGAAAGCTTACTATTCATGTACTACATAGGAAGTCAATTACACTCACCACCTCGTGTTACTGCAAGACAAGCTCATTGACATGAGAACAAAAAGTGCTTGTGATTTAAACATTTCTGTGTATTAGTACATATTTTTAAGCTGTCAGCTGATGACTTTTAGGGTAGTATATCATACACAAAACCATTTATACAAAATTTAACCATATCTCTATAGTCATAGCCTTTGGGGTTGTACACAGTATATAACTTTGCATTATGTTGAAACAAACCTAGGTAAAAAGCAAAGCTAATGGTCAAATTAATGCAGATTGTATTCAAAACTGAAATCACACACACTCATGCATTATGTTTAGCCTCACAACTGTTACTTACATCAATACTAACATCGAGACAAAAAAAAGACAGAACTATCAGATGCTAGTCTCAAACTTTTCTTATACTCAGTGCACACTTTTTAACTCACTGAAACAAGAACAAAAATAAAGCAGTCTTATAATTCAAAATTTATTTTGTCCCTTCCACCTGGTATCTCCTAACTTCAGCAGCCAGATGAAGACTCCTGGTAGTTAATGACTTCTTCCACCAGTCATAACTGCATTGATCAGAACTGATGCTGAAGCTCAGGATTCATAAGAAATAAGCTGTTTTGCCCAAAATGGATTGAATTATTTGGAGTTTCAATGCATCATAAGAAATAAGCTGTTTTGCCCAAAATGGATTGAATTATTTGGAGTTTCAATGCATCATCTATTTCAGCAGTTTCTAAGTGTGTTTTAAATTATTTTTTAAAAACACCTAGTATCCCTAAACATTTCAAGTATTCTTTTACCTATCTAAATTCTTCTAAAATTCCTTTTCAAAAATCAGTATATTTGCCTCCCCCCATTTCTTTTACCTTCTTGCCAAGTACTTACCACACCCACTTCCTTCAAAGCAGAAGTCATGGAGATGACTGGTGGATCAGGCTTCAGTGGAAGCTGTGGCTTGGAAAGAGATGCTCCATGCTCCTGTAGGCCATGTGCAGGACTGTGTCCTATGGCCCCACCGTGGGAAGGGGCATTAGGATTCTTTACTCCTTTTTCTATCAGCTGTATGTAGTTAAAAATAAAGTAATATAAAAAGTTACATCTATAAACTAGCTTAAATTAAATTAATTCTGTTTGAAGCAGGATTCATGAAAACTGCTTTCAATCAACGTATTATTAGTAATTATCCTCATTAGAGAATTGTTAGATTAAATATGTTGAAATTTAAGAACTTCGCACTAAAAACATAACTCTGAACAAAATTCAGAAGGAAGGGCTACTGTAATGGTGGGAAGAAATGTTCTGCAAGATCAGCGATTCTAACTTTAAATTCAAAAACAGAAGGAAAGTTAAATGCAGTTTCAGGCTATATAAATAATCACAGCAAGAACAAATAGAAAGATAGACCGTTACCTCTAAATCATGATGAGGAATAACAGCATTAAGGGACAATAATACAGAAGATTCAATTTGAGTATGTCTCAAACATCTCCCCACCTTCCTTCTCCCTGGCTGCTATTTTACTTGACCACATTTACCTAAAAATTAGCTCTTTCAGTAAGAAAGAAACCCAACCCTTTCAAAGCACCAGCTTGAAATCTTCTCCTTGTTACTACTAGGAAAAAAATATTTTGCACTATTACATGTTACACCAGGCTTTCAAGAAGTCTACACTATCGTATGATAAAGGTGGTGTTTTTGAGTAATTAGTTATACATGCCTGCTTTCAGCATAACAGTTCAAATTTGTTTTACAGATCAAATGAACCATCACTATGATAACCTTCTACAGAATTGTTAATCTGCATCCTAATTTATATCAGTTTCCTACATCAGTAGAAACTAGTCAAATTACACCTTTCTAATCAGCTGTTCATTTATTAATGATTTCACATGTTACATGCAGTACTACCAAATAGGCTCATGTAATCTTAAGAAAGAACAAAAATGTAAAATTCTCATTGCATTAAAACCTGGTACACACATGCACTATTTCCAATTTAAAGCACACAGAAGCCAAAGATTATGTCCACCTTCATAAGTTTTGGATCATTTTAAAAATACTTAATACAATCCTCATTATTATCAGTTTTGGCATTTCAGGTTTCTTGAGCCAAATTTTTCATTCAAGTAGACCCAATTTTAGGCTTCTAATGAGAATTCCAACCAACAGATAACCTCCCCAGTTTCGTAAGGCAAACTGATTATCTAAGCTTGAAAATCACAATACCAGATTTTAGTCACACAGTACTATATACTTGGACTGAATATAATAGATTTGATTTGCTTACGTGTTCTTCCCAAGCTCTTTTCTCTCTTTCATAGGCTTCCTTCCTCTTTCGTTCTAGCTGCTCTTTCAGAACTGCAGCTCGAGCATTTGCTTGGGCCTGTAACCAAAACACACACACACACACCTTAAAATCATACAAGCAGAGCATTTAATTACATGGAATGTTTACAAAAATAAAAAAGTCTTGGATCATTTCATCCCCCTTTCTCTACTTATTTTATAGAATGTGAAGAGAGGATTTCACCCAGATTCACCAGAACCACATCACTACAACTGATCCCCTGTCTCAAAAATAGTAACAGACCCTCAGAATTTTCTTACAATTCTTGACTACAAAGGTAACACTTTTAGTGTGCAAAGTCATGTTAGAAGTGAGTCCTCTAAAATTGGAAGCTCTTACAATGAGTTCTGAAGCTAAATGCATTAATCACAGAATATTAAATATTCAGTTTATGCTCTATATGAATGAAAAAAGTTCCACATACTGTTTCGCCTCCACTTTTACTTTAGTGAAAGTTGGTCTTAAGGTCGGCTTGCTTTTACAATGCTCTTTGAACATAATATTAAAAAAAAAAACTATTTGCTAAGAAGAACACATGGAATAAAACTCCAGTTAAACATTGGATTTCCCTGAATCTAAACATTTGCTTTACAAGACCAAAAAATATCTTTCATGATAGGGAAGTACAGCCTACCCTCCAATCTACACATAGGCCCTGTCAGCATCCATAAAGGGTTTGCCTACCTAGAATAAATACAAATCATTTATGGTATATTTTCTCTTCCTTTTCCATATCAGAATTAAGCTAAACTGCTTCTAGGGCTAAAGCTAATCTAGAGAAAAAATTCAAAAGTAGAGCTAAGAAAAATATTTTGCTTGTTGACCTAAGTCTTAACATATTTTGAAAATACTGAAACAAATGAGTTGAACAAAGAGTTGTCACTTCAAAACAGAAAAAACATGCATGGCTACATTGTCCTTAAGAAAGGACAAAAGCCTCTTGTAGTGAACAAATGAAAACAAAATGAATTTTTAATACTGATAACAAAATGAAATGTTTAAAAACAAACAAAAATAATACTCATGATTTCAAAGGAAATCTTTAATAACGAATTCCAGATCCTCTCTTCTCACAATTACCTTCTGTGCTTCTATCTTTTTGCGTTTCAGTTCTGCCTCCTCGCTTGATTCTTGTCCATCGGAAGAACTTCCAGCTTCACTCTGCAAAAAGAGTTCTTAAAGAATTATTATGAATTTATGTATTTAAAAGCTGAGTGCTAGTGATTAGTGGGATCACCTAGACTGATTGCATGACTAACACAGACCACAGTTTTACTTAGTAACTCTTCACTCAAATGTAATGTCTGTTTAGACTAAACTGCATTTTAAGGTTACTTTTTTATGATATGAAGCTATTATCAGTAAGAAAATGATGGTTGTGTTGCTGTTCAGACAGTGGAACTTGAACTAAGAATGTTCCCTGCAGGGCTCTCCCCAAAATCCCTTAAGACTGCTGCATATTCTAAGGTTAAGGTATATATGAGAAAGGAATTTCAGTTTCTTCCATGTACACACTTCACTTAGTACTGTGAGCAAGGGTGAACAGGCGAAGGAAAAATGAAAGCAAGCAAGAACATACAGGGTCGACATCCGAAATCTCTGTTCTCAAACAAATTGGTACTTTGGCTGGCTGACAAAATTGAGCATTAAAAAAGTCAGATAGAAACATATTTTTGCCTATGACTGACTTACAAAATTTTTTCATTTAATCTGAAGTAATTTAATAGGCTTTTACAGTACATATTAACAGGCTGTGGAGTGGCATTAAAAATAAGTTGGCAGAACACAGGCAAAAGTTAAGTATATGCTGGGCTTTTTTTTTTTTTTTGCTGTTTGTAAGAATAAAGAATATCACACTCATCTTAGTTTCAGTCGGCTAAAAGGAAAAAACTGAAAACACACTTAAGATTAAAAAAACAAAAACCAAAAACCCCCCCTTTTTTTTTTTAAAAATGGCACTTTTCATGACCAAAGGACAGAAAGCCACTGTAATTGAAAACAGGCAACACACATAAAATAGAATGCATTATACTAGCAATAGATGTCTTTATACTGATCAACAACTTAGTATCTCCAACAACAGAAAAGATTTGGGCCTGATACAGAGCTGAACCTCTGTGCTGAAGCTCCTACCTGCAGATCATCAGAACATTTTTTTTTAAACTTATCTTTAACTTAGAGATATTTTCCTCTGGAAGGCTTAACACTTAGTGATCCTCAAAATAAAACTGAACTTTGTTCTGTGTGTTTTGCTTTCTCTCTTACATAAATTGTATGCACATTGTGCATTCATTTGACTGTGATATGCGATATCTTTGCAGGTTATTGGCATTATATTGTTCTTCATTTACTCATAGCTACTAACTATTTAATTCCTAATAAACATCACGAAAAGAACCTAGTTTCTGTGAGGCAGGTTCTTTGAATTTTCTTATATCCACATTTGTATCTAGGAGGGTCAACATCTGTTTGCAAGAATGAACACATCTAGAGGAAGGACAAAAAAAAGGAGAAAAAAAAAGAGACAACAATAATAGACAGAAAAACAGAAGAGAGTAGAAATACACATGGTCACTTTATAGAATTGCCTAGTGCACTGCTTCCCATAGGATATGGAATACCTTTCCTCAAACTAACCTTTTCTCCACGAAGCTTTGCTTTAATCTGTTGACGTTCATTAAAGTTTTGTAGTCGGATCTGTCTTAATCTTGCCAAATATTCCTAAGGCAAAGAAAGGAAGCAAGTTACAATTAGTCAGAAATGGTCTATATTACCATTTTAAACCCCCAGGAAAAAAAAAAAAAAAAAAAAGCAGAGAACACTTCAGCAGAGATTAATTAATAGCCAGCCCTGCAGCATGGGGAAAACAAGCCTACTTGACCAATTGGCATTTTATTTTTTTTTATGAAGTATAGCAGCTCTGTGAACAATAATGTCACAGGGGGCATTAGGAGCAGACACTTTGTTCTCAGAAAAGAAAAAAGTTCCACACCAGAGGCTAAAGTCTGCAGCATGAAAACAATAAAAACAAAAAAAACACCTCTGGGATGCTATGCAGTAAATCATTTCCTACAATATGGAGCTCTTATGTTGTTACACAGATGGACCATGCAGGAAAGCTAGGCATGGTCAAGGTCGAAATGGCAGCATTTGTGTGATGAAAGCAGCGAGCATGCAGCAAGCATACCTCTTCCTCCTTGTTTCTGGATTTCCTTCCTCTCGCAGAAATGGGCCTGCCTCCATAGATATCTGCCGCATTTTGCAGTGCACCCTGTTTGCCATTTAATAGGATCAAATTTAAGATGTCTGGGGCTGTAGAATTATCTCCTTTATCCAGTAATAACTTCACTTATAAGAAACTGAATCACCCATAATCTGCAGTTGCTTTAAGTTAACTGACAATCCCTTTCAATTACAAGCGACATGTATCAGTAATTAATATCATGAGTAGCCAAGGAGGCCAGAAACTCAATAATACAGTTGTCTTTTTTCTTGATCTTCTATAGCTATGTTTAAAAAAAAAAAAAAAAAAGAAAAAGAAAAAAAAGTTCTGACAGGCACAGTTCTGATGAGTTTTTCTACATCTGGTTTATACACAAATGTTGGCATAGAGCTGGCATTTGTTACTGTTGAGCCAAACTTAAAAGAGGAATAAAACCCCTGCATGTTCTTTTATTAAGCATTATCCATCATCAGGGCAAATTTAACTTTTTTTTTTTTTTTTTTTTTTTTAAAAAAAAAAGCAAAGTCAAACACTCATAAAATACTTGCATATATATATATATATATATATACACACACACACACCCCATATGTGTATATACACACACACATTTTGTCTTTTACATTGTTAACTAACACATTTGCACTAAAAATGTTTATTCTTGTTTAGCGTGACATAATCAATGTCCTATTTGTCACCAAAGAGACCCCAACCTCAACCTGTAACAGGAATAAAGACAGAGGTCCAAAATAAGACAGTACAAAAACAATTGTCTTTTACATTGTTAACTAACATATTTGCATTGAAAATGTTTATTCTTGGTTAGTGTGATGTAATCAATGTCCTATTTGTCACCAGAGACCTCAACCTATAACAGGAATAAAGACAGAAGTCCAAAATAAGACAGTACAAAAACAATTTAACTCAAGGTTACCTGTTTGGTTTAAAAATCATTACTGACCAAAGTAATTCAGGTATGATGTAACATATGTTGAGTAGACTAAAACATGCTGATTTGTTAACTCAGAATTAATAGCTTACTTTTAAATTTGTACAAGGATAAGAAACACACATATGATGATTATGTGCACCTTCTGCCTTATGTAACACCAGGGCTTCAGCTTTCTCAAGCCTGAGTACTGGGAACCACTTGAAAGTCAAAATATTCTTTCAACAGAAGGCTAAAAACCGTAATAAAACAATTAAGAACATATTTCTAAACTTCTGAGGCTTAGTCACTAGAGGGAGTCAGAGAACCAATAAAAGAAACATCCTGGTACTAACTAGCCTAAATTCTTAAGACAGGACTTCATAAAATGCGGTTTCAACATAAGTGCTGATTCAAAAAATAGGACAGGAAGATTTTCCATACTCACCATTTCATTGAAAACAAACAAAACCAAAAACAACAACAACAACAGAAACTTACTTTATGCCCATTCCTGAGCTTTACAAAAGCCCAATGGCACTTTAAGACTTAACACTTCCCATCCTAACGCTCAGATTAACCCCAGGCTTTCTCACCAAACTGAGAGTGATTTATGTTCATTTTTTTCAACAAGAAGTAAACAAGAGTTTTAAGAACTGATATTGCCACTGCACACTGTTAATGCTTAACATTTGATTAGCCTACCTAGATGAACACATATTAATATTAAAAATTACTAGGACTCAAGGTTTTCAACGCAATACAGCTAAAATGAAGCAGCAAATTAGACTAGAGGCAGTTGTCTTGATGAAGGGATACCTGTAAAATACCATAGACTCAACTACTGAATCAAACTTTAGACCCTCACCTGAAATTTTCCATCAATATCTACAGTTAAAAGCTGTGCATTAGCTGACGCTTCCTACTGTTTTTTCCCCTCTCAGATTAGTGACAGGCAGATCATCCAGACCATGATGTATGAGAACTATGGACAGCTACACTCCAGTTGTTTTCCTGCTCAAATAGAAGGAAGTTGCTGAGCAATGGCAAATTTGCCATGTACCTGAAACTGGAACCCCGATTTGCTATTACTATGTATTTAGAATCTCGAATTTATTTTTACCACTGTTCAGTAACCTCCCAATTTAATTAGCACAGCAAAACATTTGAGCTCAGTTGAACAGCTAACTTGCAAACAGAAGCCTGAAAATAGGATACTTGGGGTATCTTTTATTAAAATCATTTCATACACCTATATTAATGCCCAAGTCAAGGACAAAATGGATACAGGCACTACTACAAGCTTAGCTATGAAGATGCAGTCTTGCCAAAACAGGAATCCCATTTTATGAAAATGATTTACTGATCTTGGATGCTTTAAAACAGAAACATTGTTTTGAAGTAATAATCTCAAGCTTTAGAATGAGTACGCTAACTTAAGGAAATGTCACATTAAGACAGTGAATCAGAGTACTTCAGAATTGCTTTCATGTAACCAAAATTATCCTTGGAACAAAGACTCCCTTTAAGTCACGATTTGACACTCAGATGTAACTATGGATATGCTACTGTAAAGCTGCAGTCCCTCTTACCTAACTGCACTGATAGAACAATTGGTTTAATTTAATTAGCAGACAACAATACTGTTTACCAGCTTCTAAGGGTATAATGTGAAAAAGCAAAACTCCATATTTTGGAAATACATAGTAAAACCACACAAGTATCAGTCATTTCCAAGACTTGGACTGTGAAATTGTTTTCTTAAAGGAACATGGAATATAGAACTATAAGCATAAAGAAAAAGGAAAAAAATACAATGTGCCACTGTTCAATAGTTTCAGCTTCTAAAGAAAAGAGCTTCAGAAACATCAATTTTGAGAAAAATGGATGCAGCTTTACAGTATCTTGTTAACAGGTAGCGTTATTGTCAACCTATTGTAGACAAACTATCAGTTCAAACTTCACTTTAAGTTCCAGTTTAATTTTAACTCAAATTTTAAAGCTAGCGACCAAACAAAACTGGAAACCAATTCTAAAACCTACAACACTAAATCATGATACATGAAATGTATCACACAGTTCTATTAGAATTTAATAAAACCATGAGAGTAAAATGTACAAATAGAGCATGCATCCCCTTCCCTTCCACTTTTTTTAAAAAAGTATTTAAAGAAAATACTTAGCCAGCATTTCAAGGCTACAATGGTATTTTAAAGGTTAAAAAAAAATGCTGGAATGGTAACACACATAGGAAGATGAGACTCCATACCATGTGTCCCTCAGCTCGAGCTTTGTTTTGCATGGCTTCTCTTTTCCGTTGCCAGAATTCTTCGACTTGCTTTTCTCTTTCTGCAGCTACCCATCCTTTCTGCCTGAATGGAACACATATCAAGATGAAAGTCTCTGAATATGACACTTTGCCTGAATAATTGCAACACATACCAAGATGAAAGTCTCTGAATATGACAC